TTGGTTATTTGATTTACTCATTTTGGAAAATGTATATTCCAGATTTTTTTTTTGCAGGCCTGTTTAGTTTAATATGTTAATGATTAATTCTAAAATATGCCCCTTAGGTTCTCTCTGGGAGAAGGCTAAACCTTTTTTAACCATTCCAACTCCCTGTAACAGTACTACATTATCTACCTCATACACAGGGTCAAAACTACAGTTGGCTGGCTTAAACAACTTATAGTTCAAGTGATTGTGAATTCAGTCTTTCACTACATGATGTTAAATGAAAATATTCCCGGCTTAATTTCGAGAAATCAGAAGTATGATATAATGACACGACATATTTATGTCTGATACATGTGTGTGCATCGTGTACAGACGTAGGATGGCCATGTGCTGGAGCAGCTCGGCCGGCTCATGAGAGCCCCTTGTGTACATCCACTTGGAGCTTTTTGACCTCATATTGGTGACTTGAAATCCCCCATGCAGGATTAAGACATAGAAACTGGCTGTCTCTATAAATCAGGCATTCTTTCCCTGTGGAGAGTCAATTGTCAGATTTTTATTGGCACACCACTGTGTGTGTGTGTGTGTTTATGTATAATATGTATATATGCAGTAAACTATGCTGGAAAGAAAAAGCAATTAATAAGAAAGCTGGAAACATCAGCTTTTTCTGCACTCTTCATTCTATTCACCTTTTCTCATTAAGGTTGTATATCACATTTTATTTTGTAACAAGCTAGAATGGAGTAATATTACAACATAGACTCCCTTAATGTTCAGTCATGGCAACGCTGGGAACCAGGCAGCAAGGGAATAAATTAATGCAGTTTCTCAGTGATGAAATTCCTCTAATACCCAAACTCATGCTTCAGTGATGCTTTTAAAATGTAAATAGGAAGTTAAATGTGCATTTGTAGAATAATACATAGGTTTGAAATTTATTGATGGAATTGTTGTATATCAATAAGAAATAAATCTGAACTTCAGATACATTTCTAAATAAATAATTGTACTCCCTTCTGCTATCTGATTTCACTTGAGTAGTGATTTATTTTCAAGAATAGCAGGGCTCCTTGCTTTCTGAATTGATTTGTGAAGATTGCTGAGAGAATAGTAGT